TCTCATAATTTAAATTAAAGCTAAAAAATTCTACAAGAGAAAATACACTAGTAGTAAAGCTGGAAAAATATCCCTTGCTAAAAAAAAAAGAGACCGATGTTCTTGGATTTGCATAGCGGAGGCACATAATGTGGGAGAAAATATTTGCTCATTAAAAAAAAAAAAAAAAAAAAAAAAAAAAAAAAAAAAACTCATTATTTTATTTTCACTCGAAGTGCATACAGCATATATTTAAAATTTCGCAAAATGAAGTTGAATTTGTATAATTTTAAAATTTATGTTGTCATAACAAACACTCTTACACGTTTGTAAATCTATCCACTCTTCCAGTTAAACAGTTAGATACTTTTTTATCTGTAATTCTTTATTTAGCTGACGTGAACAGAAACCAAAGACAGATGTTTAATGACCAATGCTGCATATATTACTAATATTTTGTAGTTTTCTTTGTGTCGTTTCTAGATTATTTCATATACATTGAGACATACTTGTAGAAGCAGACATAAAAAATGTCAAATCAAATAGTACAGTGTCGTCAAAATTAATTAGTTTCAAATTTTTCATTAAATTTTCATTAACTTTGCTTTCCTATTTTACAAAGAGAAAAAAGAATAAAAATTTATAAATAAGACTGAATTATAGCTGTCATTCAATTTCATTACATTAATATTTTATCAAAGCATAAGTAATATAAACCGTTTTAATTACGCATACTTTCTCCTCTTTTTTAATTATTCTTTTAAAGATATTTGTCTTTTCTGTTTTCAGATTTCTTACTTCTTTCACTAAAAGTAATGGTAGACTGTGGTGTCTCGATTTTGTATATTTTTTATCTTACTCTCCTTTATCAAAGGTTCTCAACCGGGGGAGGGGAAGGAGAATTCTACCAACTGATTAGTATTTAGTTTTATTTTATGAATATAAATGACTATTTTTATTCAGGTTTTGGTATTTGTTAACACTTCCTGTACTTTTTTGTTTAATTTATAAAATATATTAAAAAGTAATCTTTTAAAGCAAAGGGGAAAGAAATGCATGCAGCAAAAAAGTTTGAGAATCGCTGTTCTACATGCCTAGCAACACACCAATTGCAACTGTAATATGAGGCAAGAAATGAGAGTAGTTGCGTTATTTTTTTTTTTTTATTTACTTTTGCTTAAGTGCTTGCGAGAAATCTGTTGCTGGTCATTCTTTTCATTTTTCAGCGCACATTGAAAAGTAAGTTGTGGATAATTGTATGCAGATATGTATTGTTGATATGAGTATTTTCTAAAAAATCATCGCGATCATATGAAAGGCTAAACTGTGCATAAACGACTCACTTTTAATAGGAAATTGCAAACTAGTATGACACTGCATAATATGACTTAACGGTGAACAACATTCAAGAAAAAAGCATCTATTTTACAAGATATAATCTGTCATTTCAACAATTTTTGCCACATATAAATGAAATAGCCCAGCATCAAGCTAAATAGAGTCTCTATAAAAGAAGTCAGCGACCTTAAATACCAAGGTATCATAATTAACAATAGACTTTCCTAGGTATCCCACATTAAAGAGCTTAGGCAGAAAATAAATCAGCTTAGCAATTCCATGGTTACAACAACAGGACCTCATTGGGGTACTCCAATCACTACGCTCAAAATTTTCTTCCTCCTTTCTGCATGCCTTCGTGGTGTAACCGTTAGCAAATTAGGCTTGTATTCGAGAGGTCCAGCTTCGAGTCCTAGCGAGGACTCATATTTCCCATCTTCAGCATCAAAATAACCTAATGACTTTACAGTGGCGCCGAATGATGATTTTTCACCACGAGGACTTGGTGATTGGGGACTCTAATCCCCACTTGTCTTTTAAAAGGGGGTAAATAAGATACTTTTCCCTCCTTTCTGCATGCCTTCGTGGTGTAACGATTAGCAAACTCGGCATGTATTCGAGAGGTCCAGGTTCGAGTCCCGGTGAAGGCAGTGAACATGTTTCACGTCTCCTGCTTCATAATAATAATAATAATAATAATAATAATATATCTACAAGTTGACTCAGAACAGTCTCAGAAATGATCATATTATATGAGGCTGCCATATGGGAAAGGAAGCTCAACGCCCATTTGAGAAGGCAGCTTCTCACCATTTTGCACGTACTGAAAGTTTTGGTGGGTATCCCTCCACTGGACCTTCTAGTGGAGAGACAATCATTATTAGTAAGGACATTGCAGCTGGAAGATAACTTCTCTCTGCGGCAAAAGGCATTCTACCACACAGACTATGAGACGCAAGCTGATCATGACAGGACACCAGCAAAGACGGACTTATCGTATACAGTACACCTGCAATACACCCCACCAGATGAGAAAGCACTAGCTATATATACAGATGGCTCAAAGATGAAGAAGGGCACTGGCTACGCTGTATACCCCAAGGAGGAGAATTGGTGAAAAGTTGAGAAAGGACGACTGGAAGGCAAAAATACCATTTTTCAGACGGAGCTTCTGGCATTAAAAGCAGCAATCAATTTGGCAAAGTATCAATTATCAATAAAGGTATATACATATAGCGACTCCGCCTCAAGTATGGAGGCCATCCGAGAGCAAACGACTAGGAGTCCATTAGTGCAAGGCATACAAAAAATTTTCCTCAGGATTTCTTCAGATGACAGACCCATCTTGATATGGGTTCCAGCTCATGTGGGTATTACTGGCAACGAAGCGGCGGTCTTGCTCGCGAAATCTGCAGCCAAAGACCCCAGTAGACTGGAAAATCCAGTAAGAGTGCCACAGTCTTATTTAAAAAAATAACTCTCAATAGCCTTGTGCAAGAATGGCAGAAAAGATGGAAAAGGAAAAACATAAGAAGGAGAACCTACGTGTTCTTTCCGAAAGAATCATGCTCAATTTAAACAGGCAGCGGCGCATAAACTCATTTCTACTTTAGCCATAGTCCCTTCCCACATTATTTTAAGATATTCAACAAACAAGGCTCAGAATTATGCGAAATTGGAGCGATAAGTGATGCAGATCACTTACTCTTCAACTATCCATACACCGATAAATTGCATTTAAAAACACCAAATAGTGAATACTGGCCGCAATGCGCGGAGAATACCTACGACAACAAGCAGGTTGAAAAAGAAAGATGGGGGATGGGATCAAACTAAACTTAGCAAGGTATTAAGCATTTTCTTGCCCTTGAAAACTGGATCATCGCAACATAACTTTAATAGCAAACCGAAGTGGTGGGGAGAGGCTTTACAAAAGTGGAGTAAACTGACAACTCGCAGATAAAGGAGCAGCAGATTAGTGTAGTCATCTCTAACAGCAATACCTAAGTAATTGAACAGTAACAAAGATACTCCCTTGATAGGTACTGTAACTATAATAGCAGTTGCAACTATTGAAAACAAATCAACTAAAGTACCAGAAAACTGAGTCAAACAGCTTCCTACCCAGACTAAGCCAGATAGTGTTACAACAATTAAAAATCAACATTAGAAAAATAGCTCGCCCCGTAGAATAGTAACTGGACTATTTTTATGTAAGCTTGCATGTAATTATTAAAAAATAACGTTCGTTGTAATGTAGTTAAAATAACAGAGAAACTCCAGTCAATGTGTAGCTGAATTACAAGTTTACTGTGATTATATCAGTAACAGTATTCTAAATATGAAATCAGATAATGTTTAAATGCACACATAACTGTCATGAATATATCTAAATATCTCGTATAACTGTATACAAGACAATGTTTGTAATTAATATATTGATGCTTATACACAGGCCTTGTATCCCCATGTAATACTTATATATGGAAAAAATAATCCCTTCTGCCAGGATGACTATTAACACTGTCAGACTTTTACAAGTCAGATCAGTGGTATCCCAGGCTGCGCTCAGTGTAAATGAAATGAAATGCTGAACCCAAGCGGGTTGACATGATGATAAACATCAAAATTACAAGTAATATAAAAAAAATTAAGTCAAATCCCACTTAGGTCAACAAAGAAAAATTTTAATTTAGGTACTTTTTATTAACATTATTTCGTTTCATTAACATTTTTTCATTATAGATGGAATATTAATTGAAGAACTGGACAGCTCGAAACTCACTGGAAAAGTTCCTTGCAATAATGAAGTATTACAAGAGACGGATAGAATGAAAAATTATAGACCACCATCAGCTTCATAAATTAGAAACAAAAAAATGTTTATAAAAAGTAACTAAAATAAAATTTTTCTTTATTGCCCTAAATAGGAATGACTTTTTAAGAAAAAATTCTTATATTTTAATATGTGAAAAAAACTGTATTAACATCAAGTGTCATCCACTACAAGTTAAAAAAATGTATCTGAACTTGAGTGGATGAATAAAAAGCATTTTGTTAAAGACTAAAATTTTCAACAAGATATAGGGAGAGTGGGAGCTAATAGTAGGAATTTAAAAAAAGAAACGTAATCTAATCATAAACTTGCCGTATTTTTTTCTCTATAACGGGCTGTAATTAATAATAAATTAAATTCATTTAATTAATAATGTTTGCATAACGCTTTTTAATATCTATAGTATATCAGTCACAAATTTTGCATACAAAATTTAAACGCAATTTACATTGTTACTTAATATTTCTATTGAACTTTTCAATGCAGTTTTTCTTAAAAAATTACTATATTTACTCTTAATAATTATAAAGTAAATTTAAATTTTCAGATAGTATGAGATGAATATAATTCTAAAAATTATTAATTACCTTTACTAAAATTTAAGAGTATGGTCCAAAAATTGTTGCCAAATTTAAGAATAAATCGGTGAGTAATACATTAGTTTTATATTACTCACCGATTTAAGAATAAATCGGTGAGTAATACATATAAAAATACATTAGTTTTTTAATATTACGACAGCATCTGCAATTTTTTTTTTTTTTTTTTTTTTTTGTAAAAAGTTAATTACAACTTAAGTCATTCTTATGTCTGGTGAAAATACATAAGGAACAAAAAGTCAACTTACATAATTTAAGTATAGCATGTTAATCCTTTATAATATTTCCAGAGCAAGTAATATAACTCTACATTAATTGCAGCATTCCACTAGACTTATTTTTTCTAATTTGCCAAAGACAGTATAGGTAATTTTTTTTAAGCGAAGAAAGAAAATCCTTCAGTCAAAATTCTTCGGAAGAAGCTTAGAGACTAACTACTCATTTCTGAGGACGTCGGACGATCTTCTTGCATCCTTTTGTGCAGTTCATTATTACTTCAGTGGCAACAACTCGCTAATCCAGTAACCTAGAGAGATGGGTTGCCAGAATAACTGACCTAGCAAAATGATACGGAACATAGGTAAGCATTACGTAACGGATGTTCTTGATTTTGAGACGGAGGGTTGCCTTAAATAGGATATTGTTTTCTCATTTAATGGAGTTTGGCGCATTCGCTTTGTTGGTTGCGCATAAATTATAAAGTATACCGCGGGCTAAATTTGGCAGTTAAATGTCTTCCACAAAACTAAACCACTATGCGTGTATTAGGATGAGAAACGTTCTTTTGCGCATGAGTAAATTTTTGAATTAAAGCCTTTTCTTTGCTATTTCTGTTGTTATCTGCGGAATCCTATATTCGGATTGAATTAGGCATAAGATTTCACGGTAAATTCTGTTAAAAAAAGTGTTACCAATTAGTAGCATGTTTAGTTTCATGAGAAGGCTACGCATAAAGTAGTAATGTTATTTTATTATTACCACGTAGTGAAAAATAAAGTGCCATAACAATGTGCAGAATGAGTAATGTGCTCCTTAATAATATGCTCCTCATTGGCAACCACAGAATGAGTCAGCATGTTTCCCAATAATAATTTGACGTTTGTCAATGGCACAGCGTATACTTTTCTCTCAGCCATTTCATTTTTATCAACGAAGATGTGGAGGTTATAGCATTAAGTTGCAAAGGTACTCTGTAACAATAATGCCTTGATCCTTGATCCAAGTTTCTTAATCGAAAGCCAAAACACACTTTTTTGCTCCAAGTACTTAGCCTAATGCATATTAGCTTAATAATGTTTTATCCCTTGTTTCACTTGGGACTTCGGAGCAAGCTGAAGCGTGAAATATTAAATAACGTTCCGAGTTGGTGGAATCCAGAATTCTTTTAGGCAAATAGAATCACATGATGGTAAAGGAGCATGTAAAATCAAAATTATTATTTTTAAAGCTAGAAGACATTTCTTATTCTTCTACGCTTCAGTATCACTGCTGGATCGAAATTTGAGAGGTTTCTGAATTCTAGTAAAGAAATTATATTGTAATTTCAAAATATGGATATCAACCGAATCTATTTTAAGATCATGATAAATTTAGAAATTTAAAGCAGTTTGACAATGTCTGTCGTTTGAGCCAATGGATTCCATGTAGCTGGTAATATATTTTCGAAAAATATCGAAATAATGACATGATTTGTAAAATGATTTGTTTCCACAATTTTTAACTTCTGTTTGAGACGAGCCATTCGCATTAAAATGTAAACGCAATAAGAGTACTTTTGTTCCTAAAATAATTATCTTTTTAGCTGTATGATAAGTAATGTACAACAAAAATAAACTTGAATATGCAAAATTCTTTGTTTTCATACATTACTAAATTCCCTAAGGTTTAAAGTGTTAGCCTCTTTAAGGATGATTAAAGGAAGGATGATATGATATTAATGATGATACGATATCTTTAAGGATGATGTGATTAAAGGAAACTTAAAAGATAGTGATAAAATATATAAAAACAGATGTATCTCTTAAATCTGTCAACTTTGCCACTTGACTATTGCAAATCCATAGAAAACAACGAAAATAGAATTCAGATCTTAACGAGAACTTGCTATGTATCGGTAATGGGTATGTATGTTCAGCTTATGGCACATACATACCCATATAAAACCATACACAATAATGAATAGTTTCATTAATGGTTCTAAACAAAGTTGCATGAATTTTAAGCATTTCTAAATTTTCCAAATTCATTAAATTCACTTGTACTAGCACAAAATACGATTTATGCTTGTGTTTATAAATACCATTTTTCACATTTCTCAGTCTTTTAATTTATATCTTTAAATGCAATAATACAGCAGAATAATAAATTAATCCACTCTAAGTACATATATATAATTAATTACACCCGTTAAAAAAATCTTTTAATAATAACAAAAGCATACACGTGTTTATGAAAATAAAAATGATGTATATCATAAATCACATGAATTAAATGTGCTCTAAATTATATATTTTGTAATATTATTAAAAAATAACAACGAGATATACGTTATCAAAATATAATTAAAATTAATAAAATTAAAAGGAAAAGTGGGAACTTAAATGATAGATTATAATTTCTTTCCTGTGAACGGCCCTAACCAATTCTTTCTCAATGAAAATCGTAACCCAAAAAAGTACATGTAAAATTTAAAGAAACTTCAAATGCGAATATAAAACTGAAAATAATACAAAATAGATCTATTTTGTATACCATTTTGTACACTGCCTTTCTAACTGCCTCTTCAGCGACCGCGAAAAGGGCGTAATTATATCATTTGCAGATATTATTAAAAAATAACAAAAAAATAGATATTATTAAAAATACATATTGCCTTTAAATCATTATTTAAGCTATATACAGCTGCAATTCGAAAGATCTTGTGCTATGGCGAATGGCAGTGCCTCTGACAGTAGACAATATCTTAGTTCTCAAGGCATAGCAATTTTCATTTCATGTCGGTATAGTCAAGAACAGCAGACGACTTAAAAAAAAAGTCACAGCAGACGGCTTAAAAAAGCCTGAAAGTTGCGTAGGATACTGACCTTTCTCATCTCAACCATTCAACTCTGAGATGAGCCTATTTATAAGCTTGCCTTAAACTGCTGTCTGCGTTACAAAATGCCGACGAGATTCCTAAGTCATGATAATGAAGTAAGCTGGTCTAACAACAAACAGTCAATGAAAAACTTAATAATGAAAAGCATCGGAATGCTGAACCCTTACCTTGCATATATTGCAGAGTAATTAATAAGCTCGCAACAATAATATATTTTTTTTAGTTTCTTTCATCCAAATTTAATTTTCACGCAATAAAATTATAAGTTTCAATTAAATCTCATTCATGACAGAAATTCATTGAAAGATGTATTTTTCACATACACACACACACACACCATCATTTACATTTTTTCTTTGAATGTTTTCAGTTGAGAAACGGCAACCACATTTTCGAATTACACTTTACAGGTATGTAAATAAAAACTGAGTTTTTACATTAAAAAAAAAATTACCTTTTTTTAGAATTTTTACAGGAAAAAGCATAACCGATAACAATTTTTTTTTGCTGAATTTCTTTTTTAATTTTGAAATAAGCAACAAGTATTTTCAAGTATTCGTGTTCAATTGCATAAAGATACTTAGATAAAAATACTTAACCATGTATCTGCCTTATCAAGAATAAAATTTTCAGTACCTACCATCTCATGCTATTTCTGGTAAAGTTTACTTTTATCCTTTCTTACTTAAAATCTATTCAAAACTACGTGAAAACAAAGTTCTTGAATTGAAAATAAATTTATACGATATGAAGAGTAAATAAAGGAAGAAATTCGACGTAATTTCTAACTGCAGTTGCATTGCTGAAAATGCTATTGCTGACAGCAGTTTGCGGTTCTAGTTTTATTGTATACTTAGATTGTAGGCCCACCAGCGGCCGAGCGGTAAAGTCGCTGAACACTGGTAGTTCGGTTCGAGGTTCGACTCCCGCGAACGGGCTGGCTGCATGGGTGTTTTCGTGGTTTTCCCCATGTGTAACGTGTATACGAGTCAGTTTCCCTTAGAAAGTCCTCCACGAAGGCATCCCTCCCCTTAGGCAGATAGCCTTAGTGTGCTTTGCCATAATTAAATACACCTCACACCACTACTTAGATTGTAAAGGTGAAGGAAAGCCTCATTTTTCTTGCAATTTTATTTTAATTTTTTCTGTTGTTTTCTAAAAAGGGCTACTTATAGATAAATTCTAAATCACTCAGTGATAAGAAGTTGAAATGATGAAACAACTGTTGATGCCTAAATAAATCATTTTAACAAAAGTAGCCTCAGCTTAAATAACCAGAAAGTGAATTAATGACTTCCACATTCACAAATTAAATGAAAAAGGGCATTGGAAAAACATACTGAAAATATAACTTATCACACATATGATTTCAAATATTTTAACTATGTAACTAAAATATATGAAGCTTTGATTTAAAAAATTTCTTTTGGAATTAATCAAATACGAGTATCATAAAAAATAACGAAGATTTTTTACTTTAACTTTAGATGATAAACAATCAACAAAATAACAGCACGCATTAAAACAGGCGACTAGGGAATTAAAGGACAATTACATATAAATCACCTTCACTTGCGGTCAGGTGTATAAAATGTCCAAGCTACTACTGTCTGCATCAGAAACTTAAAAATACACAAAATTTGGAACATTTAAAAACGATCTGAAATACTCCTCGTGAGAACTGCTATTGCATTAGTACTGATTATTGGTATCTGGACTGTTTTGAAACCTGTTTAAATACGAAATTGAATTAAAAATGAATTTCGAATTCATTTAATTTTCATTTGCACTCACTTGATAAGAAATCATTTAAATACGAAGCTTTGAAGCTTTGTAAGGATTTAGCTTTAGTCCAAGAAAAACTTAAAAAAGTAATATATGAGATCTCATTTCTTCGATAAACGCTTCATTGTACACAGTTTTCTAATGAAAGAACACACAACTGATGTGTTAACTACCGAATTAGTATGATTATAATCTTGTAAACTATGAGTGACTTTTACTTCTAATTTAATTTTGAACATTATTTTATCTCTATCAAACTACTTATAACAACGTCGAATGAAATTGATCTAATTGACTGATGATATTAACAATTTTCATCTGTCGTTCCAGAGAATGCTCAGTCAGGAGAATATGCTGGAGATTATACTACTAGATAGTTCTCCTAGTTCTTTCTATGAGTAGAAGTATTGATGTTTCAGGAAATATCGGAAATCAGCTGATGTTACAAGGTGAAACTTGTGTCAGATTATCCCCGAAGCTCCAGTGGACAGGATAATTTCATTCAGAAATGCCACGTAAAATAGATCTATTTTCTGAAGAAAAAATGTACCGATGTTGACGGCAATTCTATTGGAAAGTGTGAACGGTTAATAT